TATATAATTTGAAAGTTGTGAATGCATTATATTTCTCTCTTGCTGCTGAAAAATTCAGTTGTGTCTCTAATTGTACTAATGTATAGGAAATTTAGAAAACTTTAGAAGTCACTCATTAGGGAACTTCGCAGGTAAAAGATGCAAAGTTTACAATGCTGGTGAATAAATATAAAAACTTTAAAATGAAGGCCTCGGAGAACATACAGGAGATGTTCACTCGATTCACTGATATTGTGAACAGGTCTAAAGCTTTAGGAAAGGAGTACGATAACAATGATTGTGCAAAAAAAGTAGTTCGTTCTCTATCTCATGATTGAGAACCAAACATAACGGCTATTGAAGAACTTCATAAATTTTCTAATCTATCTCTCGATAATCTTATAGGTAATCTTATGACATACGAAGTCAGACTGAAAGAAAGAGAAGATGTCTCAGAAGAAGATCAAAGAAAAAGTTGATAGCCTTTAAATAAAAAAGAACGAGGAGTCAAGCTTGAATGCTAAAGACAAGGATGATAAATTTATTAAAGGCTACAAATCTTTCTTTAAGTTAAAGGATGATCAAATTTTCTTGCAAGGTGATCGGAATTATCATACAAACGAGGTAAGTAAATATAATTCAAGTGATATTTGAATTTCTCTTGTGTAACGCAGGGATGGCCTCTGTGTTTTGATGGTGTAATACAAGGATGACCTCTGCGTTTTAAGGTTGTAACATAGAGAGGACCTCTGCGGTTTGAGTCTGAGACACAGAGGCGAGCTCTGCGTCTTGATTTGAAGAGACCGTCAATTTGTAGTCTCTTTTTGCTAGAGCGTTACAAAGATCATTACCTTGTAACATTTGTCTTGGCTTATTGAAAATATGAGAGTTGTCAGATTGTCACTCCCGATGTTGATTATGAAGGCTGTTGAATAGAGCTTTCATCGGTTGTTGTGAATGTCGTCAGACTGTAACATTCATCGATCTACGTGAAAATCTTCAAATTATAACCTTCTGGAAGTCGTCAGATTATAACTTTTATCATCAGTGTTTGATGGGGGATCAGCTATCTACAATGATTTTTAGATAACCTACAGTATGATCACCTAACTTGTTTTATATGCATATTTTTAGTTTTCTTGACTTTTCTTTACTTTTGGTTTTTAATACATTTTTCTTTATATTTGTTAATTTTATATTTTGAAAAGATAAAAAAAATTCTCTTTCTTTCTTTTTTTCTTAGGAAGAATCAAAAATAAAATAATTTTTTTTCTTTTTTTTTCATTTCTTTAAAAAAATTGGACATGCCTATATATATGCTTTTACATGAAATGTTTAGATATGGTTATTTGTTGGTATATAGGTATGAGTTAGTCATATTGGTTCACATATTTTTTACATCGATATATATTATATGTGCACACATAGTTATACATAATTGATTGATAAATATGATGATTCACAACATGTTTCTTATTACTTTTCACACCTTAGTATTATTTTATCATGTTTAATTTATAAAAGCAAGAATAAAGGTTTTTATATGTTGTTCATAAAATATTATTGGATATATTAAATAGTTTTGAGCTTAATTGATACTTGAATATAACACCAAAATTTTTATTCACGTACAAAATACATATAAACTATAAAATATCAAGCAAAAAGAGTCTATTCGTTAAAAAGACGGTCAAAGACCCACACTCAATAAATCCATGGTAAAATTTGAGTGTATTTGTTAAAAAATGGATAAAGACCCACACTCGTATGCTAAATACTTTTAATATTTAGAGATGGTGTACATCACCCTCCAAACACTGTCATTCTTCCTCTTAAAATTCTTATAAGGTTGAGGTGATAGATCAGGATTTTGGACATTTTCTAAAGGTTGAGATAATTCAAGTTGTGTAAAAAAAGAAGCTCAAACTAGAAAATATATATCTGAATTTATTTTATGAACTAATATAATTACTTTGAATATAGTTTTTGCAAACTTTTCTAATATATTCATAGTTTATGTGTGAATTTTAATATTACTTATCATCCTGATTTACATGTTTTGAAGTTATATATGTATCTTTGGTACTATTTTTGACAAAATTCTTTTGTGAACCTATATTTTTTCCCTTCCATTCACCTTTAGATAATTTTTATTTGGATTTTTAAGTATATTGTATATCTTAAGTGTGTTTTTATTTTGATAACAACAAAAAGGGAGAGAAAAGTTGGAATTGAAATTTTAAAAAGTTTCAAAATTTTACATGAAGGTGAAATTTGGAAAAGTTTCAAAAATTTTATTTGTTTTAGGAGGAGAAAATTTAAATTTTTTCTTTGAAATTTTGTGTTTCTTAGTTTCTTGGGTAGTTTTTAGAATATATTTTTTTTTCTGTTTGCATATTTGTAGGGGAAAGCTTTGCATCATATTTGATACATGAGCTATGAACTTATTTTGATCTAAATATATATCTCACCATGTTTTTACATTCTGTATATCAAATTTCGAGTTTAGTTATTATCAAAAGGGGGAGATTGTTAGAATGTTTTTCAAGTAGGATGTTATTCGTGCAATATCTCTTTTTTAATTAATAACAAACTCTCATTTGTTACTGATATGTTTGTGAGTTAATATATTTTAGATATAAACAGATGCGAATAAATTATAGTTCAAAATGATGCAAAAATTAACATGAACGTTGATTTCAGCCTTTGAACCATCGATGATCATAAGTCACCATCAATCGTTAAGTTAAGTCATTGATGAACTTAGAAAAGAATTAGAGAAATAGGTATTTGATTTTGAATCATTGATGGTCTACATTTGACCATCGATGATCGTAAAGACCATCAATGGACTACAACACATTCATAAAAATCTAGAAAACTAAAATTTGTAAAATTGATGGACTACAGTCAACTATCGATGATCATCAATGGACTATTGATGATTGTATTCCACCATTGATGGTTAAGACTTGATTGGTAGATTATCAGATTTAATCTTAGCCGTTAGTTGATAATTTGGATCACCTATTTAGACTCTAATTAGGATATCTATTTTCCTATGCTATCAAGGTCTATTTAAAGAGGAATTGAGGAAGATAACAATTAAAGAACATGAAGAAAGGGAGGCAATTGCATAAAAAGCGAGATTTTATTCTAGGATTTGTGAGAGAGTTTGATTTGAGAATTCAACCCCCGGAGCCTTGTTCAACTTCTTCTCGTCGTACTCATCATCGAAGGATTTTTTTAGTGAGGAGAAGTTCCCTTTGCATTCGACTCTAAAATCGCTTCTTCATAGATCTTCATTGTCATTAGTTTGAAGGGCGGTTTGTTAAAAAGGGTTGTAAATTTTTTTCTAGTTGTGCTTTGAATTATTTTGCGTTAGTTTTGCGTTTTAAACTTGTAAGTTTGACAGCGTACTCAAGCTAGAGTAATTGAGGGTTAGGGTACGCAGACTAGGTCAGTTGAGAATGTGGCTAGCTAGGGCTAGGTTTCCTCAAGTCATTCCTAAGAGTTATGTTAGATGACTGGTTTCGGGTAGATTTTAGGATGCGGTCTTTGAAGCCTACTAAATCGGGTTGTGATTCAGATGAACTTTAGTCATAGTGAGGAATGTTCTTTATGGGAAGGAAGAGTGGATGTAGTATTTTAATTTGAACTACTATAAAAATCTCGTGTATTCATGTGTTTCTTTGCTTTTAGTTTTTCACTTATTATATTTTCGTTACTTATTCTAGGTTAGGGCCCGTTTGGATAATGGAAGTATTGGAAGTAAGAAGTAGATTATAGAAGTAATTTTCAAAACTATGAAATAGAAAGTAGTGGAAATAGCAATTTTTTTGTTTGTTTCATATATTTTTAGAAGTAATGGAAGTAAAACTTATTCCTCTTCATTTACTTTTTTTATTTGGATAATATTTCAAAATATTACTAGGAAGTAATTAACTGATATTATGCAAAAACTCGTATCCATTTGCATATACTTGTTTTATGCAAAAACTAATATTATTAACTGTGATATTATGCAAAAACTCGTATCCATTTGCATATACTTGTTTTATGCAAAAACTAATATTATTAACTGCTATTATGCAAATCCCCCGACCCTCTTCTTCTTCTCTTCAATCAATTCAAAGAAACTAACTCGAATATCTGCAATCGAATGGATTCATGCAACAAGAGGGTCTTGAAGGGAATTGCCACTCGCCTCGGCTTGTGATGAACCGGTAAGCAGTTTATATAATGGCGTGTTGAATCACTGGCATACGTCGCCGCTGCGTTAAAATCAAAGAAAATGCTTAATTAATCAGTTTTTATGTTGCCATCTGTTTAGGATCGAGGAGGCTGAGGCACGAAAGATTGTATATCTACAAAATATTCGTATGATTTCTATAAAAAACTAGAACTAACTAAATTTTGTTCACTTCTCTATTTGAAAATCTTTTTTTCATGGTGGACCCTACCCTATATTAACGTCCGCCATATTTTAGTGCATTTGAAGATGGAAAAATATCAAGGAAATAGAGATGTCACGTAGGTGTCACATCATCATTTAAGAAAGTAGTGGAAGTAGATTTTTAAGAAAAACAAACATACATTTTTGTCTAGAAGTAGCAGAAGTACTCTCTACTTCCTCTACTTCTGCTATTTCACAGTTAGTTCCGTGCAAACAAACAGGCCCTTAGTTGAAAAATTACAACAATCCTATTCACCCCCTTCCAGACTTGTATCCCAGTTTCAACAGATCCAGTTGATCCAATGTTATCGGATAAACACTCTTAACAATAGAATTGTAATACTCTTGAAGGGGATTATGAGTTTAATTGTTTCCACTTCATTCAAGTTTATCTTTAATATAAATCACAATATTAGAGTCATTCATTCCGTCAGAAACCTGTCAATCAACTTAAGTAGTAAGCGGGTCGGGTATGGACCAGGGCCGTGTATAGTAAATAACATATACTGGATCCCCCCCCACCCCACCCCACCCCACCCCACCCCACCCCCAAAAAAAAACCCACACACACAAATACATGTAGTGCCTGAGTTCTCACTCTCCTCCAAAGCACTTCCAAGTTCTTCTCTGTACAATTCTCTTTCTATTCTAGTACCATATTCTTAAAACTTCTTCTCAATCTCCACAATGGGTCTACTATCCAAGCGTGAACAACCTCCAAAGAAAACTGCAGCTGAAGGAAACTGCGGAACATATCTCGGCATCGTCTCTCTCCTCAGCTTAATATACTTAAACATAAACAACCTTACATTTTCTTCTTCTGTTGAGCCCAAAATAAGCTTTGTTGAGAGAAACGGGACAACGTTTATGCTAGATGGCAGGCCTTTCTATGTCAATGGATGGAACTCCTACTGGTTGATGGATCAAGCGGTGGATGAGAAGAGCAGGGGAAGAGTTACGGAAATGTTTAAGGCCGGTAGAGACTTGGGACTTACTGTTTGTAGGACTTGGGGGTTTAATGACGGTACCTATCATGCTCTGCAAGTTTCTCTTGGGCGTTTTGATGAAGAAGTCTTTAAGGTACGTATAGTTCAAATTTTTAGTGAGAGTTTATGATCTGTTGAAAATTTAATTTATGTTGTATGATGAAATTATTATTGAGTATTTGTTGGTGACTGAAAACATTTGCTCATTGATACTTTTCGGGTAATTCGAGAGAGAAATTAAATCCTCAATTAGAGGAGGGGGTGTATGTTGATGTAAATGGCGAAATCCGAGGGATTCATCGAGAGAAGAACAAGAGTAAGGGGTCTGGTGAGGAAAGTCAACGGTTTCAGGAGAATTTTGTGAGACAACCTAAACTTTACTGGGGTTTTGTATGATACAAAAAGTTGAGAGGGTAATGTGGAAACCCCCCAAGTTCAAGGGGGTTTTGTGAGATCAACCCTTACCTTTTTTTTAGTAAACACTTGGGTCTCATTTTTATTTCCAAATAATTATTGTTTTATCTATTCTTGAGGAATTAAATCTAAATTCTAGCATTTTGATTTACAAACTAAGAACGTGTGATGTGTATCACAGGCACTTGACAGAGTCATAGCTGAAGCAAGACAACATGGAATAAGGCTATTGCTTAGCCTTGTCAATAATCTACAAGCAATGGGAGGAAAATCTCAATATGTTAGATGGGCAATCGAAGAAGGAATTGGTTTAACCTCCTCAAATGACTCTTTCTTCTTTGATCCATCCATTCGAATTTATTTCAAATCATACATTAAGGTCTAATTTCATTACGTTTAAACTAGGATTACTTGTGCACAGACCCCTCTTGATTCGTTGTTTTGAACTTACTATCGTTGTAGTTTCAAATAGATGCCACCCTTAGATAAGAGTCACTAATTTCGATCCAGGGGCAATATTAGCTGCCAAAGTTTTTCACCGTAGGTCTATTTAAAACAAGGAGCTACAGGGTAGTAAGTTCAAAACAACGATACTATAGGCGGCTATGTGCAATTAACTATCTAGACTATGTGCGTCTAGTTTGAACTCTCGGTCTTACTTTTGAACTCTCCATATTGATTTGTGTTTCTATCTCAGACGATATTAACTAGGAAGAACCACTTGAATGGGATTGAGTATAGAGATGATCCCACAATCTTTGCTTGGGAGTTGATTAATGAGCCTCAATGTACATCTGATCAATCTGGGGACACCCTCCAAGTAAGTACTATGGCATTTTCCTTTTCCCCTTTTTTTTTTTGGCGTGGGGGACGGGATTTTTTTTGTGGGGGTGGGGGGTGGGATTGGGGGGCTCTTCAGTATACATTATACTTAGGAGTTGGATTTAGCCTTGGTGATAATTTGTTTATGGTCCTTCTGACAACAATGTAAACTAATTATTGTGCGTTAACAAATTTTATAGGAATAGAATTTTGGCTAATCCTATGAAATTATTGTCGTTACATGATTTGGAAGACCACTGGTAATTGCCTACCATTGACAAGTGTATATGATCCTTAGTTTAGTCTCAAGATTTTCATTGATTCTACTAGGTTTGATCCTCTGCAGGATTGGATTGAAGAAATGTCACAGTTTGTGAAATCAATTGACAAGAAGCACCTTCTAACAATAGGACTTGAAGGGTTTTATGGATCTAAAAGTTCTAAAGAGAAGTTGAGTGTTAATCCAGGAGAATGGTACAAAACAACAGGATCTGATTTCATCCGCAATAATAAAATCTCAACCATTGATTTTACTTCGGTTCATATTTATCCTGATCAATGGTAGCTATTCAACACATTTCTTCAGTTCAGCTGTTTAAAAAAACCACCAACTAAAGAAGAATGTGTAATTTTGTATAGGTTAGAAGAAGCAGACTTGCAAGAGAAAATGGAATACGTCAATAAATGGGTATCCTCTCATATAGAAGACGGTGATAAAGAACTCGGAAAACCTGTCATGTTCACAGAATTTGGTCTTTCAAACAACATCATCGATTTTGATCACTCACAAAGAGAAGCATTTTACAAATCAATTTTCGACGCAGTTTATGATTCTGCAAAGGAAAATGGAGCAGGGTCTGGTGCCTTGATCTGGCAATTTTTAGTTAGAGGCATGGAAGAGTATAATGATGACTTTGGAGTAGTCCCTGGAGAGAGGCCTTCATTAGACAAGCTTATCAAAGACCAATCATGCCGTCTTGCGAAGTTAAATTATGGCAAGGATTTGGGTGGTAGAAGTCTCAAAAACTTCTGCTGAAATATTCAATATTTGCTTAATATTTCAGCACAAGTTCTTCCATCAAAATTCTTAGTTCTCTCAAAGTGAGATTTTCTGGTGATGTATAAAAAATGGTTTGCATATCGTGCATCATTGTGGCGAGATTCTAACTTGTGAAATGTGATTATTGGGAATTTGCTATATGACCTCTTATTGAAAGAAAAAAAAAGAAGTTTTCTTATTGAAATAAATAAAAATAAGTTTTCTTATATAGAAAGTTCGAACCAATATCTAACACCTAATTTTTTTCGCATTTGCTCTCATTAATTATCGGTTAAAAGTAATAAATTTTTTGATATTGATCAAGTAGTAGTAATTAATTTACAGAACATTTGAATGAGATTGTACTGTACTCACATATGAATCCTTAGTAGACCTCCCACGTATATTTTGTATCTCAAGACGTAAGCAAAGATACTTACGTTAAGAGTCTGATTCCGCAAGCGATTTGCTTAACTAATTAATGCATTCCCGTATGGAGCTTGAAATTAATATTTTTAAGGATAGTTTTGAAATTGAGGCTGGAACACGCTCTCTGTTGTCTGTGTAATTCGAGCTTTAAGAGCATAGGGGTCGTTATATAGCATTTTCAAATTTCTTCCCAACCAATTACCTAAACGGCCATATTCGCGCGACGATTAATGGGTGTTGTGTGACCTGGGGACTGTTGTTGTTGGGGATTCGAAACAGTCAAATCGAACCCTTACCCTTCCGAACCTTGTTAGAAAGTTGAGCAAGAAATAAATTCACCACAAATAAAGATCAAAACTTATAGGAATAGTAAAAGAGACCAACACAAAGATTTAACAAGGTTCGGCAACGTGCCTACTTCCTCAGGAACCACACCACACAAGTCTTTGATTAATTGAAGAAGGAATACAAGCACTCAAACTAGGGTTTAATCTCTATGAGACTCTCTCTCTCTCTAAAAACTCACTTTCAGATAGTTTCTGATGGTCTAATAAACCCTAAAAACGTCTAATAAACCCTAAAAACGTTTGGGTATTTATATCAATCTAAATCAAAACAGAATCCAAAGCAGTTTAGGAAACTGCCAGCTAGACTTGCGATCGACCGCCGAACTAGTCGAGATCGACCGGATAAACGGCAGAACCCATACCGCGCTTACAGGGTTTTCGCGGTCGACCGGACCTTCTGCCGCGGTCGACCGAAAAAAGTCCAGAGACTTACTTAGCTCCAGGGTCCAGGCGCGGTCGATCGCACCAATTGTCGCTGTCGACCGGAAAAAGTCCATGTAGGCTGTCTAAAAATCACAACAGATAACTTATCCCCATCAAACATCAACAATGGAGGTTACAATTCGATGACTTCCAGGATGCTATAATTTGAAGACTTTCACGTAGATCGATGAATGTTACAAATCAACGACCTTCATGACAATCGATGAAAGCTCTGATCAATGGTCTTCACAACCAATAATGAGAGTTGCAATCTGACAACTCTCACATTTCAAAGAGTTAAAGCGAAGATTACTAAACAACGATCGTCGCGACGCTCTGACAGAAGAGATTACAAGCCAATGATCTCTTCATTCCAAGAGGCAGGACTCATACCTGCATCCCAGAGGTGAAGCACAAGTGGCCTCATTCTAGAGTCAAAGCTATGCAAACGCAGCTTCCATTCGCTGCCAAACGTAGCTCCTAAATGCTGCAAAACGCAGCTTCCATTTGCTGCCAAACGCAGCTCCTAAATGCTGCAAAACGCAGCTTCCAACCGTTGCCAAACATAGCATCTAACTGCTACCAACGCAGCTTCTAACAGCTGCCGACGCAGGTTCCATCTGTTGCCCAATGCAACTTGCAAACACTGCGTTCAAATGCAGATTTTATTCCAAAATACAAGACTTGCGTTTGACTCGTTCAAACACGAGTTGAACGGTTCCAAAAACCGTTTTCTCCTCATGATCTGAGGGATTTCCGCCCCCACTTAGGAGCGGATTAAGGAGGCAATTACATCCTATTCAGCCAAACTTAGGAGCGGATTAAGAAGGCGGTTACACCCCCATTCAGCCCCACTTAGGAACGGATTAAGGAGGCGGTTACACCCCTTAATCCCTTATAAATAACTAAAAAATCAGTTTAGTTAAGGGCTGGTCAGCTTTTTGGCTTAGGCAGATCAAGAGAGATCTTTGAATCCTTGAGCATTTTCAAATCTAGAGATCAGCAAAGGGCTTCTTTTCGGCTGGGTTGGATCTTAAACTTGGCAGCGAAGAGGAGATCTTCGGCTTGGCACCAATGGGGAGATTGACGTTCATCCTTCAGCAACGTTCGACAACAGAGAGCTTTCATCCTTGGCTATAAACCGATTTCGATTAAATCAACTCTTTCATAGAGTTTCAAACTCGTTCAGAGTTATCAACTCGTCCAGAGTTCTAAACTTGTTTTGTAAGTTCTCCACACCGTCAAATCGTGAGGAGGAGATACCGTTTTAGTGAATCAAGACGTTCGGATCATTAACGGAGAGCAAACTCGACGTGAGCATTCGAGGGAGGCACTCCATCGCTATCGTGAAGAACCCAGAATTAAATAAAGGAGAGAATCCAGATCATTCTCCTCTCTTTTGTAATCAGGAAATTCAATTGTAATCGAGATCGAGAGAATACAAATCAAATTTCTTTCGTTCTTGTTACTACAAAATTTCCACCAAACAATCCATAGACTTTTTCTTATCTCGTGCACGTTCGCAGTCGACCATCGCGGTCGATCGTACTACAATTTTCCAGTTTCCTTCGTTTTGCTTCATCTTCCTGATTCCAGCTTCGGCTTTGCTTCATCTTCCTGATTCCGGCTTCGGCTTTAGCTTTGGGTCTACACTTAGACTAACAATTGTACACAGCGGAATCTGAAACGAACACAACCAAACTAAGATAGGATCACAACCAATAGGTAAAACAAGAATCAACAATGCGAGACACCAAATTTACGTGGTTCGACAAGTTGCCTACGTCCACGAGGCAAGGAGGGAATGATTTTCACTATTAGAGAGAGAGAGAGTAGAAATAGAGATTACAAAATTTACTCAAGAACTCACAAATTAATCTCTCAAACAAAACTCCCAAAACTCTCACCAAATCTCCCAAATACATAGCTCAAAGGTCACTCCAATTTGTCTTAAAGAAATCCTAAAAAACGTGCTCCTATTTATATCAAATATAAAACCCAAACAGATCAGGAAACCAAGCCCAGGCCCATACCCAAGTCGCAGTCGACCGCACTTAACGCCGTGGTCGACCGGACAGAATGACAGAAACGCAAAAATCAATTACATGGTCCACGGTCGACCGACCAGAAATCCAAAAATGCACCTTGTAGTATGTACGTTTTCGATCGACTACACATCTTGCCACGGTCAACCAAATATCACCCAAGTGTCTCCTACTTTGTTTTTTCCAGAACTTTTTTGTCGTTTCTTTAATTCTCCACTTCGGCGAAGTTTCCTCAAAACTGAGCCTACACCAATACTAACCAAACATCCCACTTGTTGCGTCCAGTTCGAAATGGAATCATTCCATGACAACGGACTCAATCCACAACAAGTCGGGAACCAAACGAGAATGCCTACAATCTCCCCCATGTTGGTATCAACTCATCGAACTAGCTGTATCAACATGATTGCCTACGTATCCTCTTACCCAAGGAATCAAGCCTCTTGTAGTTCACCCAAATGGCCTCCAAAGGCCCTCAACACCAAAGAATGTTCAATAACTCCAAACAATGGCCAAATTTTACCCCGGTGATAACTTTGGTCAACATATCCGCCAGATTATCCTTTGTATGGATCTTCTCTAATATAACATCTCCATCATCCAAGACGTCTTGAACAAAGTGGAATCTAACATCAATGTGCTTTGTGCGTGCATGATATACCTGGTTCTTTGTCAAATAGATAGCTGACATACTATCACACTTCACCCTGATGGTCTCCTGTGCAATTCCCAAGTCTTCTAATAATCACTGCATCCACAAAGCTTCCTTCACAGCTTCACTCAATGCCATATGCTCAACTTGCATAGTGGAGAGAGCCACTGTACACTAAAGTATACACCTCCAACACATCAGTGCTCTTGCCAATATAAATACATATCCTGTAGTAGACTGACATTTGTTAAGATCCCCCACGTAGTCTGAATCCACATATCCAACACAATCCTACCCAATCTTCACATTCTTTTAAAACACGAAACCAACATCCACAATACCTTTTATATATCGTAGAATCCTTTTCATGGCCTCCCAATGACCCTTCCCGGGGTAGTGCATATACTTGGACACCATGCGCACGGCCTGTGACAAATCTGACCTTGTACATACCATAGCATACATCAAGCTACCCATCGTAACTTTGGACATGTACCCACGATCCTCAACAGAAATAAGTGACATCTTAGCTGAAAGTTTAAAGTGAGAAGCCAATGGAGTACTCACCACCTTGGCATTGCCATCAAAACTAAATTTTTTCAGCATCTTCTGCAAGTAGCTCATCTGTGTCAACTTCAACCTCCCATTCACACCGTCTCTCTCAATCTCCATACCCAATATCTCCTTTGCTTCTCTAAGATCCTTCATCTCAAATTAGGATGATAGCACCTTTTTCAACTTTCTAATAACTAAAGTATTCCTGGAAGTAATGAGCATATAGTCAACATACAACAATAAATAAATATACTCACCATTCTGTAGCTTGTGCATGTGAACACATAGGTCATATGGGCTCCTCGTGTACCATTGGCCAATCATAAAACTGTTGAATCTCTTGTATCATTGTCGTAGCGATTGCTTCAATCTATAAAGAAACTTCTTTAGTTTGCACACCAAATCTTCCTTGCTTGCAGCTCTAAAACCCATAGGTTGGGTCATATAGATCTCCTCTTCTAAGTCTTCAAGTAGAAAAGCTATTTTCACATCCATCTGGATCAAATCCAAATTCAGCTGTGCCACCAATACCAATAGTATCCTTATCGATGAATGTTTCACGGCCGGTGAGAATACGTCATTATAATCTATACCCTCAATCTGGGCATACCCTTTGGCAACCAATCTGGTTTTGTACCGAATGTCCCCATTAGAAGATCTTTCTTTTTTTGTATATACCCACTTGCATCCTATAGCTTTCTTACCCTT